TTATGTTAGTGTTCTGTTTTTGCCTTCTTATTTTTATGTACGTAGATCTTCTGAGCCTCTTTTAACAGCTTTTCTGCACTTCTGTCCTTCCAGTTCTCTACCTTTGCAGTTTTCTTGAAATGTCAGGCCAACTATTGGTGACAAAATGTAATTTTTAATATTTCTTGGCCCAACAGGTCCGGCCCAGAGTACTTTCTCATTTGATCTTTTAATCTTTGGTAAAATTCGGAAGGCCCTTCTTCTTTGCCTTGCTGAATATTAAAGGCCTTATTTAGGTTCTCAGTCCCACTGGAGCTCCCGGGTTTGGAAATCTTACATCTGCTGGAAGCACACCAGGGCTAGCCAGGTGCTCCCTTTACCAGATAGCCACAGCCGACTTTCAAATCATTCCCCCTTCTTTTAGTCTAGCTACCTAGTCAGCTAAGTCAGGTTACCTTTCTTTTTTTTCTACTGCTCCAACTCCTTTCGCAGCCTAGAAAAGCTGGTTTCTGGTTGTGCAGTGGCCTCATGGCGGTTGGAGCCTTATCAATATAGCTCTCCTTCCAAGGGGGAGGCTGGGATTGTAAATCGCCACCTTGGCTGTTTCTTCAGATCGTCCCCCTGGTCGCATAGGGAGGGGAAGGCAGGACAAGGGTCTCATTCCTCTGTCTTCCCTTGGTCTCTTTTAGGCTTTTTTCCTTTAAAAGGCTGGACTCTTCCTCCAACAGAGAGCACAGTCAGTCTCCTCTTGAGTGACTGGACAATCATTATTAACATATTTATAATTATTACTGAAAAGACGTTTATCCAAATTCTTCATTTTAGTTACATCTATTTATTATATCTTAACAACTTTGAGATTTTAAAGACAATTATTACCTAAAGCATTTTCTTGACCAATAACCATGATTGCCCTTTTTGTTCAAGGAAAGGACACAATGATCTGGCTGGGAGTCGTATGCCCCCAGGACCCTTGGAATGTGGTCCATCCTCATTCAAGAACCGCCCATTATCATGGAAGCATTAATCTTGTTACCCAATCCAGCCTGCATAGCTTACTTCCTTATGTAATTTCAAGTATATTGTATTGGTCGAATTTAGTTAAAACATATTTCTTTTTAGGGAGAGAGAATAAATCTTTGTGTCACCTCAAGGCCCTTGAGATGTCACAAAGCTGTCTCTCAGTTAAATTCTTGAAATATTTTTTTTAAAATATATTTTATTGATTTTTCACAGAGAGGAAGGGAGAGGAACAGAGAGCTAGAAACATCAATGAGAGAGAAACATCGATCAGCTGCCTCCTGCACACTCCCCACTGGGGATGTGCCCGCAACCAAAGTACATGCCCTTGACCGGAATCGAACCTGGGACCCCTGAGTCCGCAGGCTGACGCTCTATTCACTGAGCCAAACTGGTTAGGGCAATTCTTGAAATATTATATTCGGAAAAGCTGTCAACTATACCCAATTTAAAGATTATCAAAACTTAAACCAGATTTAACATTAAAGACTTGGTCTTGACCACAGAATTAATTATTTTCAATTTGGCTATTAAATTTTTATATTTTAGTAACGTCACAGAGAAAATGCTGGGAGGACACACCTACCACCCATCCATTCCCTTACTGCCATACCCTCAAGGGCACAGAAGCCACAAAGTTGTAACTGCTTCATAGCCAGCCTCAGTTCTGCCTCGGCTGGCCTGCACAGGTTTGTGACATCACAAGCAGGCACGGACCACCAGCTTCCCATCCCGGTCCCTGTCCCCATTAATACCAACACTGCCAACCAGATGTTTAATGGACATATCCTGGGAGCGGTTTTGCAAATTTCTCCATCCTGCCAAGTTTGGCAAGTACCGCCTCCTTTTCTGCCACTTGGAAACCTCTGGGCTTTTTACTAAGAGCAAAATGGCCCCCTTTTGTTCTGTTCTTTTCCCCTCCTACTTTGCCTCAGGTGAGGAAGATAATGGTTTGTTAATCCAGGTAGGCTTGAAATTAGCTGGCCTTTGTTTAAACTTCCCTGGGTTGTAACCTTTACAAATTTTATACTTCCTTAGAATCTTAAAATTTTAACCCAGCACAGCAAAATCATAAATCAGGGAAGAGCAAATTAAAGTCCCTAAAAGTTAAAAAGCCAAAGTTACATTACAGACATAAAGACAGAAATCTCACTAGCTAAGAATTTCTGGCGTGCTAACACCTTGACAGGAAGAGCAAGGAGTCCCCAAGAATAAAGATTTTTGGCAGCTGCTGGGACATCCTGAAATCTCTGTCACATGTTCAGCCTCACCACACACAACTGGGCTTTCCCCAAAGTGGGACTTGCTCCATCTTTAAACAAATTAAACAACAAAGATACATAAAACATCAACACACACTCTCATACAGGCGTGCACAACACTAAAAGTTCACACTGCAGCAATGTCTTCTGTTTCTGGTTAGGGGCACTGCCTCTCCCAGGATCTGAGCATTCTCCCCAATGGATTATTTTGGGAGAATGAATGTATTTTCCATCCTCGGCCATAAGATGGGGGCCCTTGATTTCACGGAGAGACATCTGCATTGCAGGCAGCCGTCTGGGCCCTTCTTAAAATTCTTTAGCATACATTCTAAGGCAGCAGGTTTCGAGGAACTACTTCCCATGTTTTCAGTTAAACCATGTAATCCCTCCCAGTTATCCGAGACACAGGACAACACCAGGTAGCTTTCACTTCACGCAGGCTCTCACACTCACATTCACACAGCAGTCAGTCTGAGTTTAGACTTCCACCCACAGAAAGTCCTGAACTGAGGCAAATAATTTGCCTAAGTAGTGATCAGCAACTTCTTCTGCCCCTAAAGGCAGGCCTGAACTTGGACTGCTCCCCCAAGGGAAAGCTCACCAGTCAGATGTCTGGTTCCAGAAAGGGTTTTCCTGTCCTCCTTGGAGTCCACTGGAACACAAGTGGGGGGCCCGGTCATCTGGGCCTGATGAGGATGGGACACAGTAAATCACTGGAGGCACGCCTCTCCTCTCCGTCATCAGGGGCTCGGTCGAGTGGGCCCACCCACCTGCTGTCATGCAGCAATGCCTCAAGGGGGCAACTTGGGCTCCGTGTTCTCAGTGAGGGAACCATTTTTATGTTTCAGAATTTACCAAGTATCCGAAAAATACACAGGAATACCCAGTGACACAGGAAAAACCCATTTATTTCCAGATGTACTAGTACTGTGACTCAGGGGAGACTATTTCCAAATCCTGAGTAAACCAATATGGAGGAAGCTTTCTCTTTATACTCTTTGGTTTCTTTGTCCCCCATATATGGATCAGACTTCCAGACCTTTCGAGGGCTTTGCAAAAAGCCCCATGTGTTGGGATGGGGGCTGTGAGACCACACCTAAAGGCCTGGCCTGGAGCCAGTGTTGATAACCCCCTCCAGGGGTTATATATTGTTCATGGTTTATGGCTTCTGTAAAATGTGAGTATTTCGGTAAAAAACAGGTCTTATGAGACCAGAAAATTAAGGAAGGGACAGACTATAGGCTAACAGGAATGTGCATTAGGGATACTAATTAACTAGGTACAGAGTTAGGCTGCTGATCTCCCCCCCACCCAAAAAAAAAAATGTCTTATTTTCCTCATCAGCCCTATGTTTTTTTTCCATGGACCCTAATTCTAAAAATTCCCTAAACCTGCCTATATCCCCCTAAAAAATTCCTCTTTCAAGGTGATATAATTTTGCTTACCTAATGCTTTTCTCAAAATCATCAATAGTCTTCCATCTTTACAGTAAAAACAAAGACTACCTTTCAACATCGTCATTCTCTTTATAATGTAACTGACAAAAACAAACTCAAGCTCAATAAAATGAAACAAGCAAACTCTTAAAAAGCAAGAATATCATGTAGTGGGTTGTGTAACTGAGAAGTTTAGGGTGTATTGAGCACTCATCATGACTATATTCAGAGGCCTAGCTGAGGTCATTTTTTCTCTTTCCTTGTCTTCCTTCTTCAGCTTGTCTCAGCTTTATTTTCAGGCAGTCTCTCTTCAGGTCCAGAGCATGATGACTGTCAGCAACTCCAATAGCCCTGCAACCAGCATCCCCAGGGAAAATTACTTTGTGAACTCCAGAAAAGAAATACTATGGAGGACTTTAAATATTTCGCTTGAATCACTGTGACTATAGAGATGGAGTTAATATGGTTTACCAAGCCCGGGGCACATGATATACCTCTACACTAGATAAGGGGGCCCATCAGGATTTACACAAACAGTGGAGGCTGATGTAGTAAAAGCCTAGGATAGTTACCAGAAAAAGAAAGGTGAAAAAACTTCCTGGGCCGACTTAACCTACAGCCATAAGTATGGTTTGCCACATGCTGCTCCCAGTGTTTCTCTCATTCACTCCTTCCCAGCTCCTTCTATCTAGCAAAAGTAAATTATATGTTGTGAAACCACATCTTGTGCTTTTTCATCTCTGAGTCTTTGTTCCATTTGTTTATGCTATTTTGAGTTCCTTCTCTAAACCTGCCTGATGAAATATAAATTCTAGAAATGACCACATTGCACATATTAGATGCTTAATGAATGGTCATCAGAAGAGGTTGTTTAAGTAATTCATTACACATTCAGGAGACAAGAAGATGCACAGACAGAGTCACTACCCTCCAAGAGCTTTTACTTATAAGGTTAAAGGGAACAATACACAAATCACCAAAGTATGAAACAAAAGAGTGAATAAAAAGAGTAATGGGAGTTCAGAGAAGGAAAGGATCAAGGGCTGGGGAGAGGGGGAAATTGACTTCAGGAAAGTCTTTGATAAGAAGGAAGTAGCTCTTAAGTAATTGAAATGCAGTGCTTATTTGTTTTGAATGAATAGATGAACAGAGTAAATTGATATAAGTGAACAAACCAATAAAGCACAGAAAATTTAAATCACCCATAAAGGAAGGAAGGTTAGGTTTTTAGTTCAATAAGGTAGTGGAGTCAAAAACAATATGTTTTTTGTTTGTTTATTTGTTTTGTTTCGTATTTATTTAGAGGAGAACTGAGCATATTTGAAGAAAAGAAATGTGAAGTGGGATATATTAAATTCATTAAGAAAAATCCTGCTAGAGGTAATATTTAGGTTCAGAAAAGGTGAGGAGAATGAGATCCAGAAAATAAATGAAGTTTTAATGCCAAATCTTTTAAGAAAAAAATCTTAAATAGATTTAGAAAATAATAATAATAATAAAATGTTATAGGAAAATCCCCTTTTTAAAATGATTGGCTTAAATTTAAAATGACAAAACTTAGTAGTTCAGAGTGGATTTTGCTATTTATAATGAATAATTGTGTTTTGTTTTAAATATGCTCAATTATAATCTATGGACTATATTAAAGTAGCAAAATACTTCCTTATATAATATACAGTGCCTATTTCTTAATAATCTACTTTAGTCGAAAGTATAAAAGTGTTTTTCCAGTCATTTATGGAAAAATAGAGGTGTCAAGTGTCCATTACAGTTTTAGAAAATCAATATAAATATTTTTTGTAAAGGAAACAAGAAATGATTTAAGTATCTTCGTATTCAAGTTGGAGACAATTGCCCTCTCACATTTCTTGCTCGTTTTCTCTGTTTCAGGGAAATAAAAGACTTATTTGATACCTAAAATAGTAATTACAATTTTTAAATTCATGAACCAGATTGCAAGCCTGAAGTAGCAGGTTCACATTTATTCTAGCTTTCTCACAATGGAAAATATATCAGAACTCTAAATCTGTGATGTAAATATGAAAAGGAATCTTTTAGATTTTACCTTAAATCTATATTCTTCTATGCTGAGATTTCTGTTTATTTATGTAACCGCCACTTAGAGCAAACTATAGCATTTTGATCACTAGAAGTATTAAATATTCGTTCCTAAGGTACAGGGAGGTAATGTGGAGCTTAGAAGTCTTCCCTAAGAGAAAATTTTCTCTTGTAAACATTGCATGGGGAGGGAGGAACCAGGTAAACGGTAAAGTTGTTACACTTGATGAGTAATGTGCACTGAAGGGCCATTTCATCATTCTGAGTCAAAGCTAATTTTTGCAGAGTCCAGAGAGATCTCATTTTTTTTTCAATTTGGTAAGAATTTCAAATATGGCCCTAGCTCTGTATGTTCCTAATAAAATGCAATGTACAGAGGGGAAGGGAATGTGGAAACAATGCACTCCCGTGAATTTTGCTAAGCATTTATTTCTCAGCTATCTTCTCCTGAACACATCCTAGCACCCTGCCTGATGCGCAGGTTCAATGATTTGCATACCCGCACCCTACAGGTCTTACTTCATAGTGTTTTCTCTTCCCAGAGCATCCCCTTTCCACGCACTTCCTCCCCTTTATATTTCCCAACCCGGCATTCTCAAAAACATGTAGAGTTCAGCTCAAACATCCCCTCTTCCATGAAACTTCCTCCCTCCCCCACCCCCCTCTCCGCCCCTAAGATGGAAGTAATATTTTTTCTACTGAACTGCTCTAGCATTTCATCTGTAATACCCTTGTAGCAGACATTGCTATTTGATTCATAATGGTTTTATGCATTACTCATCTACCTATTTGTAAAGTGATATATAGTTTCATTTTCTTTTTTAAAAAAATTGTTAGAGTCCCTGGCACCTTGGTTATCTTGCACATGCAAACTCTTCATAAACATTTTTTAGTAGATGAATACATGAAAAATAAATACAGGCATACCTCAGAGATATTGCAGGTTCAGTTCCAGACCACTGCAATAAAGTGAGTTCATCTTTTTGCTGATGGAGGCTCTTAACTTCAATTTGTAAAAAACGCAACATCTGTGGAGCACAATAAAGTGCAATAAAACAAGGTCTGCCTTTATGTTAGAAAGAAGAGTAGTTAAGAGGTTATTGCTCTCATTCAGTGCTGCTCACACCCTCATACCAGGATGATGGTAGTACAGACTACGGTTGTGACAGTGGAAATGGATGTAAGTGGAAAAGTGTGAAAGCTATTCAGGTAATAGAATTGATAGGGCATGGTGAGAAAGGTGAGGAAGAGGGAGCATTCAAGATCATCTCCAGATTTCTTGCTTGAGAAAATGAGTAGCTGACTGCACCTACCGTTAAATTCTAAAGATAGAACGGTTTAGGGGGAAAATAATTCATTTTATTTGGATATGTTGAATTTTAAGTACCTGTGAAGTTCAAGTGGATAAAACCAACCAGGTGGGTGATTATGGGTCTGAAGTCCAGGAAATCAGTGTGGATATATGTTTTGGAATTGCCAGCACATGCATGGTAACTGAAGTTGTACAAGTGACTGGGAGAGATCGTTAGGGACAGTTTGTAAACAGGGGAGAGAACAGGCCTAGAACAACAGCATTTTTTGTTTTAGATAAAAAAGGAATCTGTAGAGAATGATAGTGGCCGGGGGAAGAACTGGTGAAAAACATCAAATACTAGTGAGAGGGAGTAGAACGAGAACTGGATAGTGTCCAAGGGGGACATTGGTGGCCTCCTTGAAAACATTCACTGTGGCACAGTCAAAGCAAAAGCATGCTGAAATGTGTTTAATGGTCAGAGGAGAGAAAATAAAAACAGCAATCATGGAAAATTCATTCAAGAAATTTGATTGTAAAGAGGAGGATAGAGATAGATTTGTAGCTGAGGAGTGAACCTGGGTCAGAGGAGGTGTTTTTGTTTTACTTTTTTGTTTTTATTATTGGAGAGATTGATTTTGAAGTGTTGATGGGAAAACTTCAAAAGTAGAGAAGGTCAGGTTAATGGTAACAGAGAGAAGGTTGATAAGGTTCTTGAGGAGGTAGAATGGCCATGAAACTGAAGCTAAGAGAGGGGAGATAAGCACAGATCCAGGTAAACTTGTAAATTTGATGGGAAGTTACAGGAGCTTCTGCTTGGTGGCTTCTAGTTGTTAAGTGACATAAGATTCAACATAGAGGGATGTTGAAAGTTAGAAATGGCGAAATAATATTTTAAACAGCATAAATACATATGGTTAATAGTCATTAAAACTAAAAACTAAATATAATGTCATTAACAGCCACATTTAAAGTTCCCTTTGTGTGTGAGAGAACAGACTTGACCATTTTATGGATTTAGGATGGTAAGGCTAGTGGGTAGAGCCTAATGTACATTGTATACAGAAGTAAAGGTACAGGGCAAAAAAATACAAGGCTGTGACTACTTAGGTCTTATTCCATGCTTTGCCCCAGGAATAAATAACTGAGTGCAAGCAAAGACACACATGAATTTAATTTTGTATATATACATAAATACAAATAATAGTAACAACAATAGACAACATCTATTAAGAGCTTTCTATGAGTCAGACACCATTCTCTTTATATGAGCTTTACAATCCTATGAAATAAGTGCTATTTACTATCTCCACTATATAGCCAAGGAGATTTAGACATTGAGCTTAAAGAACTTGAAAGAATTTGAGGAATCATGAATTCCCACAGAGGGAGAATTGTTGGGACTGGGACATTGAGCTTAAAGAACTTGAAAGAATTTGAGGAATAATGAATTCCCACAGAGGGAGAATTGTTGGGACTAGGATCTATATCTATATCTATCTATCTATCTATCTATCTATCTATCTATCTATCTATATCTATCATCTATCTATTCTCATTACCCTTGTGGTACAATTCTATGCACTATTTACTATGTATAATTATCCAAGTTGTAGTACTGGCTAAAGTATTTATTTGTGTTGTTAACCATACAGTTTACTATGTACATTTGCCCAAGTTTTGTTACTAAATGGAAGTGTAAAATTGATCTCATCTAGATTTCTGGTCAAGAAACATAGGTTTATGTTCAACTGCTCTTCCCACACCAAACTTAGTTCAGCAGCAAAATCTATATTTTAAATGAAATGAAGCAGAGAAATTAATTTTGTGTCAACTTGACTGGGCCATGCGATGCTTAAATATTTGTTTAAACATAATTCTGGATATGTCTATGTAGATGTTTCCATATAAAATGAACATTTGTATCAGTAGACTGAGTAGAGAGATAACCCTCCCAAAGGTAGATGGGTTTCAGTCTATTGAAGGCTTGGATAGAACAAAAAGGAAGAGTAAGAGAAAATTGTCTCTCTTTGCCTGACACTCTTTGAGCTGAAACATTAGTCTTCTCCTTTTTTTCAGATTCTGCCTTGGACTGGAACTTACACCATCAGCTTTTCTGCTTCCCAGGCCTTCAAACTCAGATTGAAACTCTTCCACCAAGCCTCCTCAGTCTCCCGTTTACAGGTTACAGATTTTAGGGCTTGTCGGTTTTCATAATTATGAGTCAACTTTTTATAATAATTCTATATACGTATATAAGTATATATACAGAAACAGCCAACAGAATATATATTTATATGCATATAAAATACACACACAAACACACACACACACATACAAACACAAACAGAATATATATTTATATGCATATAAAATACACACATACACACACACACACACACGTACACACACACAAACAAACACGTACACACACATTCTATTGGTTATCCTTCTCTGGAGAATACCAAAACAGACTGATAACACATCTCCACTGGCCCAAAATAGAAAAGAAAAAAGAAAAACACAGCAGTAAGGAGAGTTAAGGTCACAGGCCTGTTGGCTTCTAGATCTGGAAGAACTTAAGCATCCATGAGAAAATCAGATCCTGCAAATAAAAGGGACTAAAACATTACTACACAGCCAAGGACAAGAGACTGATTCTCTTGTGCCATCAGGGATGAGAACTAATAAAAACAGTGACCCCCGACCTAGGTCTTCTCCTATGAGTAGGGCAAGGGGCAACTGTGCAACCCTTGGCAAAGCCATCATTGGGTTGGAGATGAGTTGTGCAATATTGCTATATGTGTATTAAGAGCTCTAAGTTACAAAAATAAGATCTTGTTCTGAACTTGGGAGCCAGGGATAGAGGGACCAATAAAATTATTAGAGAAAGTTGATGAACACACACACACAGAAATCAACTTCTTAAAAAAAGGCTGCAAGTTAGCATCCTAAAGAATACTCAATAAATATTGCTGAATTGTTGAGAAAATCCATTAACAAAAATTACAATCCAAAGACAATTCACTCCCAATAAATTGAAAATAACAGCAATCATCTAATCATCTTACCATAAGTATACTTACCAGTAACATCATCAAAGAGATAGAGGAAGAAATGATACCCTTAAAAAATAAAAAAATAGGAATTAAAAATCATCAACTATAAATCAAGAAGAGAAAAATATGAAAATAAGTAGTCTGGAAAAAATTACAAATACTAAAAATAACAAAAATAATTTTTAAAAACCTCCAGATTGGTAAATTCAGAGATCATATTGAGGATCTCACCCCAAACATAGCAGGAAAAGAGCAAGATAATAAATATTTTAAAAAGTTACAGCACCAGGTGCTTCTGCCTGTGCTTCAACATATGGAGTGTTGCGCCTACCCTGAGAACAAGAACAAGCCTGAGAAACTGCAAAATTAGAACCTCTCTTTAATCCATCAGAGAGCTAAGTTCACAGGGTAATTACTAGGATGAGTTCCATGGAAAAGGGTCCCTCCAAGCAGAGACAGGGCATGAACACACTTCACCCGTGTTAGATAGCATGAGGAGAGGAAGAGATGGGTGCCAGATGCACACAGGCAGAAAGAATTCAGCCAAAATGTTCAGGCAAATTGTGAGAGAAAAGACTCCCTGAGAGCCACGGACACTACGGGAATCCTCACCCACTTACAGTCTCTTCTCTACAGGCTCCCAGGGGATGCTAATGAGAAAGATTGCTGGCAGGGATGGTGACTAGAGGAAACTTCTCTCAGTGGTGCGGGCCTGGAGGAGGAAAATGTCCTTTCTGCGGGGAAAGCAGGAAGCCCTCATCACTCGAGGAAGGGCAGCAAACTATCACCCCCAGAGCACAGTTGAAGACCCATTGCAGCTGGGAGATGGATAGAAAAAAAATAGCCCTCTACTTCACACTACAGATGCTGCCAGAGATAAGTCTGCCAGCTTACTGGCAATTTCCCCCTGTAACAACATGGTTTCTATCTTTTGCTCTATTTTTTTAAACGTATATATTTTTTATTTCATAGGGGGAAGGACAGGGATAGAGAGATAGAAACATCAATGATGACAGAGAATCATTGATCAGCTGCCTCCTACATGCCTCTTACTGGCGATCCAGCTTGCAACCTGGGCATGTGCCCTGACCAGGAATTGAACCATGACCTCCTGGTTCATGGGTTGATGTTCAACCACTGAGCCATGCTAGCTGGGTTCTGTTATTTTTTAAAAAATAAAGATATAGTAATACATAAAGCTGTACGACTTCCTGGGCAGTATAACTTAAATGTATCTATCAAATAAAAAACCATGCAAGTTTTGCTGAATAATGTTGTTCTCACTCTCCAGGCAATCACCTTCTTCACAGTTGTTGTATAATAACACTTGGGCTTTTACTATCATTATTTTTTTTAATTATCAATAATTTTAACATCAATGATGCAATGATCACCTACCTTCTTATCAGCCTGCAGACTTACCGAAGTTAATGTGTTCTATGATGAATGTGAAAATAAAATATCCCTCATCGTTTCAAAAATTTATTAGAGCATTTTGAGAAAGCTGATCACTGTCCAAAGAGGATGCTGTTCTACTGCTGACATGATGGCAGGCCACACATTTCTCCAGACTGTCCCTCAACCTGACCCTGAACAGAACTCCAGGCATAGTGCCTACCTCCCCAGCACCTTCCTCCTGATAACAAGAGGTTAGGCGTACTGCACTTCTCTCCTGCTGAAACGGTTACTATAGCCTCATCCTTCAAATGCGTTATTATATCTAAATTGCTGCATTGTTTAGGAATTAAGTTAAATAATGAGGTAAGAATTCAGGAGCAAATGAATGCCTACAACCACCTCTAATGAACTGCAATTAAAGACTATTTTTATCCAAGTTCAATGCCCTCAATAGCTTGTGCAGAGTATTGAGTAACTAGATTACACCTGGAGGTTAAAATCTCAAGAGCCAAATATTTTCTTGCTATTGTCTATAAAGAATTCACCATAAGGAACATACCCCACCCCCCCAAAAAAAATCTTAAACCAACCACACCAAACAAAAACAGCAGACAAGTAGAGGAACATACTATCTGTATGCTGAATCTGATAGCCTCATCTCTTTCTGAGATGACAGCCTCAAACACTCCTGTTACACCTATGTCACTTACCACTTTTACCCTTGGTCACTGGGTAAATGCAAGCCTCTGTTGGGAACTACTGTGTCAAGCCCTCTATCCACACACAACTTTGTGATTTCTTCCTTTGGACTTTTTTTTTTAAGTTGATTTTCCTGTGAATCTATCCCAATGCTCTCAAGAACCCTTGTTCTGTGGCAAGTATATTTATTTCTTTCACCAAATGCTTCCTTAAACTTCCTACACTAACAAAACCCAGTAGGGACATAGCTTCCCCTAAAGACCTGTCAAGTACTGCCTGTTTATACTCATGTGCCCTGGTTCCGTGACCTAAGAGAGCAAAAGGCACTTCGGCAACCTCTTAGCTCAACATTGCTAACTCCAGGTATATTCCTTTTACTCCTGAGTGCAAACTCTTTCCTGATTTGATGTGTAATATTTGGTACCACTCTTCTTTGCTGCTGTCACCCATGGACCTCTGGTCATTTGCCTCTCTTGAACATTTGATAAAATGACTCATGATTTTCCTTTTCATCACAACCCTGCCCTCATCATAGGGACCTTCAACTTTTGCTTGAACAACCACCAAGATTCTCAAAAATGCTTCCAGTATTGAAAGTTCTAGAGCAATACTGTCTTATAACAATTATCCATAAGCTTATGGTATTTTAAAGCAATTATTACATACCAAGAGGGTCCATTTCCTTTCAAAAAGCGATGGATGTATGAATGTTTATAAAAACTACAAATAGTTACATTGTGAATGTGCACTCCTCTTGAAACCCTTTGCTAAGCGGAGGGGGGAGGGCGGTTAAAGGAAATAGTCCTGTCTCAGGTCTTTTGCATTCATTTCCACATCGTCCAGTGCTGCCATCTGCTGACCTCTTCTGCATCCCACACTCCGTATGTCCTGTATTAGATCAGAGCCAAGGTTATTAATTTTAATAGAAGCTCTCAAACTCCCTGGATAGAGCTGCCTTACATTCGGACATTTTGGAGGTTTTATCTGTGGTCTTTCTATAACCTGTAGCTACTCCATTGTCTGCATAATTCTGGGATTTAAAATGTACTCTTCTTCCAAAAGCTCTGAAAAATGCCCATCTCAGCCACTTAGTGCCTGGGAATGGTCCTTCTGCATGACATGCTCTCTGCGTTCTGTGCCTTCTGACTCCTTCTGGCCCTTCTATGCCGTGCCGCAGCTGTAAGAGGCCTGCTTATTAGTTCTCTGGCAGGAAGATGGCAGTTTGGTCCATCTCTGTTCAAAAAAAGCTTCTCCTTTGAGTCCCACCCCACAAAGGCTCCCTGTCTGAACAGAAAACCAGAATCCAAATTACTTGACCACAACACCTGATACTGCTTCTGGCCTCAGTTACCAGGGTTGTACTGCTCAGCTTTTTGTGCTAACTTTCTGCAGACAACAGGCAGGGATTCCTGTGAGAAAAAGCATTTCACAGTCCTAGTGTCATACCTTCCTGGGTGATTAGGAAGAACAAAATCTGACTTCTGAGTTATGGGTCTGAATCACTCAAGTATTATTTTGACATTCACATGGTTAAAAGAAATCAACTACGCATCAATTCAAATATCACAGGGTTCAACATGTGTCCATAAAAATATCTCACCTTTCCAGTGAGTTTGGGCCAGACCTTCAAATTTGCTCACAGAGAACAATTCATATGCAGAATGGCTATGAATATTTCAAAGTATGTTCTGGATCCCTCTTCAGATCCACAGATCACAAACTCTGTGGAGTGGGGCCTGGGGATCTGCATTTTCAATGTGCTAAACAGGTAGTCCTTATGCACAAAGTTGAAAATCATTGTGCACATGAAGGCTCCATCGATAGCTCTACTGTGGCTATGCATTAGCATCCTCTGCAGAGCTTTTAAAAATATACAAATGTCTGTTCTCCACCCCAGACTAACATTGACTCAGGGCTCATGCTTATCAAATGCTTCTGATCGAGAACTACAGTCCTGAACATCTACAAGAGATTAAAAATAATAGAAACCATTTATTAAACACTTGATAAGCAAAGTACATGTTAGCA